GGAGGAGGAGGATTGCTGCCCAGGTGATCCCTGGCTATGATCATTTGAGAAAAGAACATCTGTGGTAAGCACATGCCTCTTATGTGCAAGCATTGTGCTGCTCTGTTCCTGGCTATCTGTAGGTCTTGCACGAGGTCCCCCAGCAAGACCTAAAAGTGAACGCGTCAAAAACGCATCAAAAATGCGGTAAAACGCAATGCATTCCAGAAAATGGCGTGAACCTGCCCTTAAAGTGAACCTGTGCTTTGCCCTGCAGGTGCGTTCATTCTGAAGTGCACCATGTTGCAGTAGATGTATCTTCAGTCACCAGCAGTGTATTTCCAGGACCACAGTAGCACATTCCCGGTCATCTTCATCTGCAGCCAGATATATAATATCTCACCGACAAACAATATTAAAAGCTTTTACCACTTATCAGTTCAGTGTTATCAGTGATTGATGACCCGAGAATGATTGCTCTCACTGCGACGTGCGCGGCGATATGTAACATGTGTAGCGCAATTGGGGTTTTTTGGCGCGCTGGTGCACCGGACGCGTATTTACGTTTATATGTGCGTGCGTGGAAGTTTTTTAAAACTTTTTTTATATGCGACTTATTTTTTTATTTGTACTCTTTTTATGTTTTTTACACATGTTATTGCTATCACATAGGGGGAGGGATAACAATCCCCCGATATAATATCAAAGGCACACTGACAGGTCCTCTTTATCAAGACATAAGGGGTCTCTAAGACCCCTAATGTCACCTGGGGACCCCAAAAGAAGCTGATGAAGCAGAGATCTGCTTCACCAGCTTCTTCTCTCTGGCTATAGCAGCCAGATGACTGACAGGTTAATGTATTACATGTCACTTCCGCATTCACAGTACGGAGGGAGCTCAGCAAGGAGGAAGATGCTGATCTCCCTCCCATCTTACCTCCTGACACCCTCCCGAGCTGCAGATGGGGCAGCGGATCCCGGGACTGAAGGTGAGGGGTCAGGAGTGCGGGCGGCGGCACAATCACGGTGGCGGCACTCGAGGGGGGTGGTGGGGTGTCACGTCGCCAGCATATACACACGATCGGCAGCCTATAAAGCTGCCAATCAAGTATATGTCAAACAGCTGGTAACGGCTCTTTACATTGGACGGGTTGCGACTGTGCCGTCCGTTTTTTTTGCAACGGTGCGGACAGCAACTGGTTAATAAATGTAACTTGTCATCTCTGACCCAGAACTAAGCGGCAGATCAGGACTTCCCGCTTCCCTGATCTATGCCATTGTTCCGGGTCTGTGATTGAGACTGCATTGAAGTGCTGCCGCTTGGCCTTTCCCGGCGCAAAAGTGTTATTTGTTTTTAGTCCCGACCGTACCAAAGAAAGAGGAGGAGCATCAAATCAGAAGACATTCCCCGTGAGATATTCCCATCTCTGCTAAAAATAATGTCCTTCCTGACTTCCTCACCTCTTCAGCTCTGACACCCCCCACGGACCGGAGCAACTTTCACACTTCTGTCCAGTTGGTAACACTGTCTCTTTAAAATGATTATATTTTGTTACGCAACACATAGAATATATATATATATATAAAAGAAAAGCACACTGCATGTAAAACAAATGTTACTGTAGATAAAATGTATACATTGTATCCTATTATTTGTTCTGGTTAAAATTACAATACAGTTATATTCTGACACAAAGAAGCTGCAAATAATATAAAAGCTTAATTAAAAAAAATATTGTTTCCCCCTTTTTTGGAGCTTTTTTTACCCCTTAGGGTGATACTGGGGATCCAAAAGACCCCTAGCATCACCTTTTGTTTGCACCCATGATATAATCCACATTTTAGGCCTGAAAATTACTTCAAACCCCCCCAAACACGATATATTTTCTGACAACCAAGACCCTGTAGAATGAAATGTTGGCAGTTTCACATTTTTATGTTGCGTGATATTAGCACAACGTATTGCCAAACCCCAAAATTTAGAGGAAAAATGCCCTTAAATGCCCCCGAAATACAGCTGCATACAAATAAAAGATGAGCTTACAACGAGTAGATACCCAGCATGCCCGGGTTAAAAATTGTGTGCATCGGTGAAACTGCAACAGATTTCAATACCCCAAAAAGTCCACAGACGACGCTTTAAAAGCCCCCCCCCCCCCCCCCACACACACACTCTGCGCGGTGACGTGACAAACGATATGCGTAAATACTGGCCCTAGAATTATTGCTCTCACTCCGGCGTGCGCAGTGATACCCAACATGTGTAGCGCAACCAGCGTTTTTATACGTAGGCGGACCCGACGCGTGTTTACGTGAAGACACGCATGCTTTTTTTAATATTATTTTTACATTTATTTCATTTAATATTAATTTTTAAAAACTGTAAAACAAAATGTAACTTTACTTTAATTGCTATCACATAGGGGGGCTCACAAGCCCCCATGTGATAGCATATTGGTGGTGACAGGTACCCTTTAGGGTGAGACTGGGAGTCCAAAAGACCCCTAGTGTCACCTTTACATTACAAATAAGCTATTGAAGTGCAGACCGCAGGCTTCAAGAGCCCGGCACTGACAGTGATGCATTCTGCATCGCTCCCGGTCCCATAGTACGGGGAGGGGATCGGTGAACGGACATTCGCCGATCTCCTCCCCAGCTTGGGCGCCCGTAGGAGGGGAAGCGGAGCACAGGAAACACGCAAAGGTGTCGGGCCGGGGGGGGGGCATTTACTGGCGCGGTAAAGCTGACAGTCGGCCACCAGGAGTCTGTTTCAGCGGGCCCGGTGCCAGTGACGTACTATGGATGTCACTGCTCACCCAAGGGGTTAAATAATGAACAAAATTAATACACAAAGACAAATTTTAAGTGGAATTTTTTTTTAAAAATGTGAACAGGCGAGCTTTTAATTTCAGAAAAGACAATGTGGCCTCTGCAATAAAAGGATTCTTACCTGCTTGATGCAATCTACTTTACAATGGACACTGAACCTTTAATGCTCAGCGTAACCTTCTGCATCTTGCAGGATGAATGAACTCCCACACATGCGGAGGAGTTACCTAATTCCAACACAGCCATTTAAGATGGACAAAGAACCTGAACCCACAAGACCTCGGGCAATGGTGTGACCAGGAAAATAATAGTTCATGGGAAGTTGGTAATAATTAAGTCTGATTGTGGTCATGTAAATACTAAAAGGGGGTTAAATACGAAAACATTTTATTTAATAAAAAAAAAAAAAAAAAAAAGGGGAAAATGTTTTAACTGAAAAAATGTAGTTTT